TCTCTCTCTCTCTCTCTCTCTCTCTCTCTCTCTCTCTCTCTCTCTCTATTTTTCTTTCTTTTTTTTCGAAAAGAGATAGCACACAATTTTATGAGTCTATTGAGAATTTTTCTTTTCTTTTCAAGAATTATTCAATATTTACTTACAAATTGTTTCCAGTTTGATGATGGTTGAAATGTCAGTACGCTGATTATGTTCGCCAGCTTGACTTCTCACACAACGATAATATCCACTATCATTCCGGCGCACAAAATTTATGTGAAGATCACCATCGATTTGGGATTTTCGTTTTGATTGATTCGACACTAAAATGTCTGGTGTAAATAAAGTTTTAAAAACAGAGAGGAAAAAAAATCATATTTTTAGTTCAAAATACAAGAAAAAAAAATGCGCCTCTCTCTCTCGAGATAGTAAAAAGAAAAAAGAGAATGTAAACATGCTCAAGATAAACAAATCCGATTTTCCAATATCATGAGTGCGTCTCACAGCACCGCAGATCTCAAAAATGCAAAGCACAAAGTCGAGTATTTCGTAACACAACACCCCGATTGAATAAAAAAGACACACACACACACACACACACACATCATGAGAATTGAGTTGAGAACCGTTTCTTCAACCAGCTTCATTTTTGTTCATAATTCCCCGGATTAATTTCTATAATGTATGCATGAATACGCAAGCGGTTGAGAGGAGAAAAAGCCGATAACAACAACATTGGGCTGAAATTATCTCTTCAAATGCGAAAAAAACAACAGGCAACGGATCGAGTGATGTACGCCAAAATATCTCGAATTTTATAGTAAATTTGTATCGATGGAACTGTCATCATTTGTTTTTTCTCTTCTGAGAATAACAAAATAATTCAGAATGAACAGAAGAATAGTCACGAAACATGATGATTGACTGTAGAAAATTGTTCACCTTTTGTTTCTTTTCGTTTCGTTTGTTCTAAGCCGCAAAGGTGTTAAATTCGTAGCCGCACAAATACGGTTGTTGCTGTTGCTTCTTCTTTTTTTCATCAAAATTCAAGGTGTTTATTTCATTGAAATTCACCTCGATGATTCAATCTCTCGAGACAAAATAATTATCTTTCCATGTTTTCAGGAGGCTAGACCCCATTTTAATTCTCAGGTTGTCGTGTGTTTTGTATGTGTGTGTGTGTGTATTTTAATCGGGCATATCGAATGAGAATATACTCGGATGAAAGGCCAAAATGAAATGAAAAATACCGGTATCATTAAATGAAATAAAAAAAAACTTACCATTAAAAAACCACTTCACATCATCATCAGGCATCTTTGTTCGTCCGCATGATAAGACAATAGACTCATTTTCGACGGCATCGACGGTCTGTGTCGGATTTGTCGCTGGTGCAGCCGCCGCCACCACCAATCCATCATTGATTGCATCTGCTTTGGAAAAAGGAGAGAATCGTTGGAAAATTTAGAGCAGTAAAAAAAAACGTCGAACAAAATTATAGAATTGAAAAAGATGCAAAAATTCGAACAGAAACAAAATCGATATCTGCACATGCAACTGTTTCTCTGTTTTGACATCTATTCATATGCATATCTATATGGTACATTTGCTGGTTGTGTTTTTTTTCATTTTCTTTCATTTCATTCGTAGTTGTTTTGCTTTTCCTTCTTCAACGCCAATGTTCCAATTGCTCAGATGTTCGCACGGAATGCACGTATATAATTTGTGAATTTAGTCGACTTTATTTGAAAGAGAGACGCACGGTGTGCGCGCATTTGCGAAAGTGCAAATTAAAAAGTAATGTTTATTTACCTCCGTGTTGAGGCAAGTGAGAAAATTGAATAGAGAGAAGTAGAGAGGTGGAAAAGAGAGAAAACAACAACAACATGCCAACCGAGTAGCATAAGTACATGACTCTTTTTCACAATGAGCATGCCATGGGTTGAGTCTTTCTTCCGAAAGTGTGAGAGAGGACAATATGCAGATGGATAGAAATATGAATATATAATGACATACCACCAGAATGCGTCCCGTATCACAACTATACTCGCTCTTACTCTCTCTCTCTCTCTCTCTCTACATTCATGCATGCATGTACTACGTATACATTCGATATGTGAAAACGGCAGAACGTAGCAAACGAATCGAAAAGAATAAAAAAGAAGTAAAAAAAAAAATTAGCACTGTACTTACAAAGCGATGCCGACGAAAATATCATAAATGCCAACAAAAACAAATAAGTTTTCTCGTTGCTGATCATATTACTTTTTGTGTTAGTGCTGTGTGTGTTTTTTATATGTATAATATATCTATATAGTATATTTGCTGTGGTTGCTGTTCAATGGTATCTTGCGTTTGTTTCTTTTATGTTAGCGCTTGTCTGTCGGGCGGATAGTCTGTCGATCGATCGCGCGTCGCTTCTTTTCCAAGTATATATCTTCTTTTTTTTCTCCTTTTTTTTGTTGTTGTTGTTGTTGTTGGTGTGTTCTGTTCTCTCGCTCCTTGTGTGTTGGCTCTGTGTGACTCTTTCTGTATGTTTTATGCCCAGTGCACCGAGTATAATCCCCCCGTGTGTGAGAATCGGTTTTCTGTGTTATGTGTGTATATTTTGCCGAGCGCGCTCAGTCGCGCTCAATTCGCTCGCTCTTTTATTTCTTTCGGTGCGCTTTCTTCCGTTCGTTTGTCTTCTTAGTTATGGTTTTGGTTTTTTTTCTTCTTCTTTGCGTCTTTTTTTCTTCTCTTTCAACTATGTCGGTGCGCTTCTTTTAATGTTGTGTATTTATTTTTAACCGGTTGTTTTTCTTGCAGTTCGCTATTAGTGGGCCTCATGCATGTATTCTTTTGTTTCGGGATTTTAGTAGGTTGCCTTTAAATCAATCCTTTAGTGTGTGTTGTTATTTTTTTTTTGGTTAGTTGGTTGGTTGGTCGGTTCGTTCATTCGTTGTCAGTGTGTTCCTTGTCGATTTGTTTTTTTATGATCAGTTTTACGTCTTCCTCACTGATTGGATGCGGTTAATTACAATCAATACTTTTGTGATTACGAATATATCATATGCACACACACACACATACAATACGTTTATTGCCCTCCAGTTGAATTCTGCGTGTTTTTTTTTGCTCTCGTCTTCCTCTCTTCAAAACAAAAACAACGAAAACACAAAAATTATATAGCTCTCAAATGAATGTGAGCATTCTTTTCTCTCTTTTAGCTATTATTCCACCGATACACACTCTTCCACACCCTCTTTGTGTGGTTCTTAATTCTTCATACGCTTGAAATTTTCTACACTCGATTTTCATATATTTTCGATGCTTTTTGATCCATACCATAGCGAATTCACTCTTCACTCAATGCGCCTTTCGCCTATTCGTTCTCTTCCTCTCGCCTTTTTCCAAGTTTTACTATCGTTCGTATATGCTATGTTCTGTTTTATGCTTCATGTGGTGTTGATGATGATGAGATGAAAGAACAAATTTGTAGGCATTTGCCGTCATGTGTTGAATAAACGCATCATATTAGATCACAACGACTGATTTTCAGATTCGGCCAAAAAAGAAAACACACACAGAAAGATCGTTCTCACACATTCAACGCTCTTCTTTGATCGTAACTGGCAAATGAAGTAACAAAAACCAGTGTTATCCTTGAATTATGATTTTCCCGAATTTTTTCGTCTGTTGCTTTTGTTGTTGTTGGTTAATTCAAAGTTTACTTTACGAAATGATTTATCTCCATTATTTGTTTTTATTCCCTTTGATGTTTTTCAGGCCATGGATTTTGGTCTTTAGTTCTACGAACCAGCTCACTTTCAGACTGATTAACTATTCGTTGAAAAATGATTCCGCATTCACAGATCAAATGTTTAAATAGATTTTTTCACTTTTCAATCTCTGCACAACGACCACATTTCATCGTTGACTTTAATGCAATCCCTTAATGCATTTCACAGTCACAACACTCACTCCATTCAATCCAAATGTTTATGTTCACTCGTCGTCATTTATTTAAAAGATTTATTGTGAGTTTTCATTTTTATTTTGCTTCTTTTTTTTCAAATCGATTAAAATCCATATAGCACATGTGGTAGAAATGAGGCGATTTATGACACCAAAATGGAAACAAATATTGCAGTATATATGCACTTCTATGCACTTTATTTTATTGGTTTGGCGGCTACTTTTGCAAAGGACGAACACATAAAATTGCTCACATGAAGAAATTACGGAAATATTTCCAATTTTATATCGGCAGAAAAATCACGTTTGTTTTGGCGTTTGGGAAGCATTTGCCGATTTCGTTGAGCAATCGAGTAAACAAAATACGATTTTTCACTTAACATATAATTATGCCATTTGCATTGATGCACATGTGATTCGATTAAAATACAATGCAAATACGGCTGGACTTTGGTGGTTTTTTTTCTTTACTTTGATTAAATGGACATTTGAATGCAATTGATTATCAGACGGTTAGGTCGACGCGGAACACGCATCTGTTCATGTCAACATTTTTTGCTCGACTGATGCGGGACGACTTGCAACGAACGGCTATGCCGGTACAACAAACGCTGACTTTGTTTATGATTTTCAGCGACTCCAAACACACAGCACAACACAGTACACATACACGTATACATGGAGAGTCAGACAGGCAACGCGTTCAGTGTAAGGAGCGTATGTGTGCGTGCGTGCGCGTATGTAGACAATCGACTTCATACACTCATTGTTTAACATATTGGAAGGCAATGCAATGGCTTGCTTATGACGCTTGCTCATACATGCATCATCGCATCAAACAAATTGACAACGAACAGCCGTATATTTGAGTTGCATTAGTCATGCCGATTGCCGTCTAATCGAAACTAAAAAAAATAGATACAGAAACATTTGTACCTCGTTCGATAAAAGACATGATATAGCTCAACGTCATATGATGGCATCCATTTCATCATATTGAGTGAAAATTACCAGCCAAACCATTGAAAACGCTATTCAAAATTCAAAATCTCAAAAAATTTAACCTCAAAATATTTTCATGACCTTGTCAACCGGTCTAAACGTTTTGTTTGGTACACTTTTTTTTTGAAATGTTCTTTACCTTACATTTTGTCCCATCTAAGATTTACTGTACTGTGCTATGCTTAGGAAAAGTAAACCATTCTTATAATGAAAGCAAAATTTGATAGAAAAAACAACCAACTCATTCCTTGATACAATTCAATAATATAGATTTATTTCGATGAATCCTCGCGTTATTAACAAACAGTACATAATCATTCATTTACCAATCCGAATATAAAATAAGAATATAAATTGTGTGTGTGTGTGTGTGTGTGTATTTTTTTTGTATGATGACAAGGACAATGACGATGATAGCTAGATTGAGTTTATAAGAACTCTTCGCACCAATCGCTGAGACATTGGTAACAATCGGTGGCCTGTTTGGCATTTGCATTGCACGTATCTTTCATCCAATCTTTGAACAATTCAGAGTCTTTCTTCAAAATCAGATATTGACCCAATACTGTGTAGGCTTTGTCAAAACCAGCCTCGGCCAAACGCTTGCCTAGCGTCTCTCCAACACCCGCTAAATCGGTAACTGGCTTTTCACCCATCGGTTCGGCCACGAAATTGCGATGCTTCTGCGATGTGCTCGACATGATGTATGCTAATTAAAATGTACTATTTTGTATCTGACGTCTTGTCCGGCTATTTTTGTCAAATACACGAAAGAAAAGAGAGAGAAAAAAAATCATCAATAACATGCACGAATGTCTTATTTCTTATTTTTATACACTTTACACACGTTTTTCTAAATTAAACACACATTTTTCGTTAAAAAAAATTTGATGAATTTCGATCAGATTCTTACTTGTTCAAATGTTGTCCACGAAATTTGGTGTTCGGGAAAAATCCGTTAAAATATTTTAGCTTGTTGCTGTCGCTGTCAATATAGAAATGTACGTCGTTCGTTTGCTTGGAATGGCCTTTGCTACATCGAATGCTGATGATTTCATTTGAACGTAACGAACATACCATAGTATGCATGTATTGGTTTACGCGCGCGCTCTCTCTGTCTATGTGTGCGTGTCATTTGACACTTAACGCCATTTGTACTGGGTGCTATGTTTCTTATCGCATATTTGAACGTTTCAGCGTAGCGAAACTCAAACGATGAATTTTTATTATAATCAATTTACGTTGTTTTGCTAAAAAAAAAAACAACAACAACTTAACCTTGAATATATTTCATTGTGTGTTGTGATATATTTCCAAATGTGATGAAACCTTCAGCATTGAATCAAAACGCGTATGCAAAGAACTGCTATTTCCGTCTCATTCTTTTGAATACGTCAAATGATGACGATATTCGTAACGTTTATTGCTCATAGATCCGACTCAATCATTTACTAGTCCATAGAAGTGAATATGTATTGAACTTGTGTTTATCCATGACAAACATGAACATTTGCTCAAAATTTGCCCAATTCAAATTTTTTCCAATACATTCTTTTTAATATCTGCTGACATTTCGTTTTCAACATCGACTTGAAGTTGGTAATACTTGTCAATTTCAAAATGATTCAGTTATTGTTCTCAACTTTGGCAACAACGACAATCGTTTGCAAACAAATCAAGAAAGTGATCGGGATTGGGAAATCAACTCTGTTCAGTACTCGAAATGCAACGTTGTCGGTGCCATTTTTTATCCATACCGTATTGACAGTTCTTTGTCAGCAAATGTTCTCAACAAAAGACTCGATTTTCGTTTTTTACTTCTTCTTTCTCTTTCTCATGTTTTTCGTGTGCTTTTCATCAATTTTTAGCTTTATTATGAATTATTACCAAAAAAAATTACATAGCGCTACATATGTAGTAAACTTATGCTGAAAGAATATTCACGAAATGTGTGTGTGTGGGTGTGGGTGTATTTTTGTTTGCATCGGACAGAAATGAAACGTAAATTATTATTTTCCTAAGCCATCTTTTTTCGCTTCGACTTCGTAAATGAGAAGTCTCCACAGTTTGACCACAAATACTTCGGCCTCTTCATCCAATACCATTTGGACATCGTCCAAAATACCCTGAAATGATAAACAATATTTGTTGATATTATTACTTTAGTTCAATATATCACGACAATTGTGGCTATTCGACAAAAAATACAGTGATGGAATTTTACCTGTGGTGTGCTACCGGCTAACACTTTTGAGCAAATGAAATCGACTAGCGTTGGCTCTGGCTCACCGATATACTCGATGATTTTTTTATTAATCCACGGCCGAATCTTCTTTTCCATCAGCGTGTTATCAATTTCATTCCAATCCAATTTGTAATTGAACAGATCCGATTTGCCCGTTGGAATTTTATCGATAATACTTTTAATGTGTCGACGTTTCTCCTCTTGGCTGCGCACATTTTCCTCCTTTCGATTGCTATTTTCATCGTTTCGTCCATCTTTTCGTTTGGACGATGAATTATTGTTTGTCGCTGATGCGCTTGCGGCAGCATCTGATACCGTGTTGCCACTCGATGACTTTTGTCCCTTTGGATTCACATTATCCTCGTAATCTGTAAATGTGCGAATTGAGTAAACCATTCAGTTCTAGCACAATTTTAATTAAAAGCCGAGAATTCGTGATCGCATGCCTACCTAATGGAACTAGTTTCCGTCGTTTTGGTCCGTTGATATCTTCGTTATCTTCGTCATTATTGAAAATATCCTTCACTTCCAGACGCTTCTTTTTCGCGTTCGCATTCAGATTAAGACTTATGGCTGGCGCTATCATTGGCGGTGTTTCAATGCTTGCTGGACTATTCAGTGATTTAATTGATCGCATCGATGATCGCGAATCTTCGTCATTTGGCATGCCATTGCTATTTGAATTGAAATGCGTATCCCTTGATTCGGAGCCTCGATTACTGTAAAAAAAAAGAAGCATTGATTGCGATTAGTCATTGCAATAAAACAAGAAAAGAGACAACTTGCTCATTGAAGACGAGTCGAAAGCGTGACTTACTTGTTATTTCGTGGCGAATTTTCATCGTTACTCGAGTCCGTTGAATCGATGGGCTCAGCGTTGAGTGAAGCAAGCTCTCTTGACGCTTGCGCCAGTACGTATCGTTCTTTTTGTGCTCGTTCTCTGTCCTTGAGACTTTGTCGCTCTGCATCGCGTTCCCGTTCTCGCTGAATCTCTCGTTCGCGCTGCTGTGATTGCTCCAAATTCACATCAATCAACAATTTTGGTTTGTACATTTCTTCGCGTTGTTTCTTTACACGTTCAAATTCTTGCGTTGGATTATCATATTCACCACTGAATATTTTATTTTTCAATTCTTCTAATTCTGCAATGATAAAACAAATTATTTCTCGTTTGTTCAGTATCGGAAAAAGAGTAATTTTCGTTCTAATATTGCAAGTTCCAATATGGAACGAAAATATAGAGCGAAAAAGAGGTGAATGGCCGATTTATTACCTTCTTGCTCTTTATTTCTATCTTTAGCGTCTTGATCCGCTTCCCTAACACGTTCGGCTAATCGTCGTTGCAATTCGCGCCCTTTGTAATATTTTGGATCGTCTCGTTCATCGTCATAGTCTTCAAGGAACTGTTTTATCAAAAGATAACGCATTTAAATTCGGTTGATTGGCTATTGATAATATTAAATCAATAAGAATAATGAATGTGCCGAATGCCACTTACTTCTTTTAATCGTTTCGCTTCTTTCTCTCGTTCTTCTTCTCTTTCAAGCTCTTTCTCTTTTTCGCGTTCATATTCTTTGGCACGACGCCGTTCACGAATCTCCCAATTTCGTAGCCGCTCCTGATACGCTGCCTCCTTCTCTCGAGCTTTCTTTTCGGCCTTTTTCCGCTCGCGCAACTCTTCTTCCATCTCTTTCTCCCGTTGCAAATCACGCGGAGCCTTCAACACTTTCTCCTCACGCTCTCGCTCTCTCTCACTGTAATCGAATGAGATAGCAACAATCAATTATAATCGTTCGCCAATAGTGATTACAGCTGATATGTTTTCGTTCGTACAATTCAACCGATGACGAATACCAATCAACAATTAATTTGATTCAAACTTACATTCTTTCTCTTTCTCGTTCTCGTTCTCTCTCTCGCTCACGTTCCCTTTCGCGCTCACGCTCCCTTTCTCGTTCTCTTTCTCTCTCGCGCTCCTTTTCGCGTTCTCGTTCCTATTTAAAAGGTCAAATGAATTGTTGAATTGGGTGGATATTCACCAACACAAAAATGTTGGTTGATTGAAAATTCTATTTTTACTATATTCTATCTCATGGGAAACCCAATAAAAACAGTGCTTTTATTACAGATTCTATGGGATTGTATGAACTAGAAATCTAACCAAAAACTGGCTATAACCCATGTTGCATTCATGGATATCGCCATGCCAATAACATTTCATTGTTCGATTCAACTCACCTTCGAACGTTCTCTGGACCTACTTCGGCGTCTTGATGATGATGCTTTTTTGTCTTTATCTTTGCGTGGCGACATTGATCCTCGGTTCCGGTCTCTGTCCCGTTCCTTTTCTTCACGCTTTCGACGGTCTTTTTCCTTTTCTTTTTTCTGTTCGTCGGCCTCGGCCGTTTTTCGGAATTTACCAATTTCCCGGTTGATCAAGTCCCGTTTATCTTCTTCGATTGCTGCACTTTGTAGCATTTTATTGGACTTTTGCTCAGTAATCATTTTTTTCGCTAAGAAAATTAAATTTTAATGTCATTCATTTTCCGTTTGCTTGACCATGACATACCTTGGATTGCTTCGTAATTTTCAATTTCCGATCGATGATCGGCCAGAATTTGTTGTATTGAATCGACAACATCAGCATCTTCTTTCTTTTCGTGCGCTTCGCTGGCATCTTCATTGCCAACATTCCGTGCTCCTTCTTCTTCCTTGTAATTATCCAGAAGTAGCTTATTTTTTGCATCAACTTTGGCTACCAATTTTTTGCCCGCCACATCTAAATCGTGTAAAATGCGCACCGCACGCAAACCAACCTGTGGCCCACTGAAAAATATTCAAATAAACCAGAAAGAAAACATTGATTAGCGCACACATCTCCAATGAACATATGATTAGAATGATACGTAATCATTTTGCTCCGGACTCACTCATATTCGCAAAAGCCGAATGTGGAGACTCGTTTCCAACTGATTACTGTACCAACAGCGGCTAATATCTTCTTGATCATGGATTCGGGTGCTCGTTCGCTTATGTTACCCACAAAAACGGTGATCACAGGACCGGCTGTTTCGCTATTGGCACCTGCCGCTGGTTTTGCTGCATTAGCCGGCTGAGTTGTATTTGGCAATGTGTATGGTTGCTGTGTGTTTGTTGCCGTTTCCAACGGTGTTGGTCGTGCGTATAATTGTGGCCCCGATCTGTAGGCATTTGCATGTGTTGGCGGTGGTTGATTCATGGGTGGTAGACTTGACGCCACAGACGTCTATATCGAGAAAAATCAAAATAATTTAATCAAAATTCAATTTACGCTTGGAGTTGGGTGGAAATTGATGGATTTTTAGCTAAAAGTGAATATATTTACCGGTGGCGGTAACATTGTATTTGACGGAATATACGGCGGAATGCCCGATTGTGCTACAGGTTTCCCTCTATACGATGACATACCACTTGATGTTCATACGATTTTTTGTCTGTTGCTGCTGTGGTTTTTCCCTGACTGAATTCTCAAATTTAATTTTTGTACACTTCAAAATATGCGTCTCAATTTGATATTTTAGCTGACCAATTCACATTTGCTCCGATAAAATACAATAAATTGACACCTCAGTGAAGTAAAATGCTTGTATTCCACACATACAATAGGCTGCAATCGATTCGTGGAGTTGATTCGTCGAATTGCACTCGATTTGTTAGACAATTAATTCGCTATCTTTGCAACAATGCTTCGTCACTTGAACACAGTTCAATTGAAATTGGAATTAAGTCGAACGATAAAAAAAAACTACGTTGGTAAAATCTTCTAGGCTTTTGCCGAATTTTGATTGATTTTCGGCTTCGATTCCTTTTGACGTTTCATTTACCTTTTCGTGTGAAATGTGTACACTTTGTATGAGTGTTACCGTGTTGAGGTTAGGTTTGCGCTTGGTTTTCTCTCTCTCTCTCTCCCTTTCTCTGTACTCTTACAATCGGTGCACACACATTTATACACACAAACAAACGCACACAAATGCACAACGGATTATTCGGTTTTATTCATTCAACTCGCTTACTTGTTTCGATTTCGTAAACAGTGTTGTTGGCAAAGATTTCTTCTTTTTTTTCCTACTTCGAATGCACGATCAAGTTTTGCCACTAGATTTTCACTTTAAATTTTGAAAAATTGAAGAAAAAATATCTGAGTCTAAAACGACACTGCCATGGTGAATCTATTGACGAATTGTGTCAAACTGCAACAAAAAAATAATAGATTTTTAATGAGTTCAATTGAATGTATCAATTTTAGATGGGTTAAATTTCAACTAAGTTTTAACGAACGATTCAATTACGAGGCAAATGCATAGTGTCAATAAAAACCGATTCGCATGTTTGGCAAACAATCTGCTTTGCCAATCAGTCGAAATGATGAATGACCACTTTTGCACTTCTAATCTATAAACTAATTCAAGTTCAGAACGAACCCGCTTGATCTGCGTTAATTTTTTTCCTTGAAAAAAGGTTGACAACGGCATATTATGCAAAATATAACACCAAATCGAACAAACACATAAACACCATTCGCCGCCGCCAGTAAATGTATGTCAAAGAAAATCAACTTATGGGAATATGTCAATTGAAAGACACCTTTCAGAGACGTATCGGTTCAAATTCACTTGAAAATTGTTATGGTTTATTTAATTCGAGCAATTTTTCACCACGGCATTTAATAATGTTTTAAAGTTTGAAAAAACTTTGGGCTTAATCGTTCAAATAAACTTATATAATAAGCCGACAATAAACATTAAACGGTTTGTTGTGGATTCAATGCAAATCGGTGTGATATTTTGCACTTTGTGTCCGTTTACAGCAAAAAAAAAAATTAAAACAAATTGTTCTAAAAAACCATTGCTGGATAATATCTAACTCACAATAAATTGTAACACCGAATGACGTCCAAAATCAAGCGTTATTTGTCAATTTGTTCCCTTCGAGCTCAATTTATTTGGCCTTTTGATTTCCACTACCAACGTTGTATGCATTCCGCATATGACAGTTCAGCACAATTTATCCGACATTTGAACGCGTCCAATTGGACTAACTCGTAGCATACACGTTCAAAACCGTTCTAAAAGCAAGTCACATCACATTCTGAACCAGTCCTAATGGGTTTCGTCTTTAGTCAGTCGAATAGAGATTCAGATTGTTCGGTGAAAATGATTTTTTTCACTAAAAATATATATTGTTTTTCAAATCGACGCTTAGAGAAAGTTGTTTAAACGATGCAATATTTTATGAAGAGCACTTTGTTTTCATTTAGAATAAATAAACAACAATATTCCAGTTCTAACATTTCTCCATAGATGGCGAAATGTTTGCTGCTGTAGTTTAATTGATTTTTAAGTAAATCCGTTGATTCCACTCCATCAGATAATTGAATGTTGAACTGATTTGAAGAATATGTATGAGTTTCACTCCCCGAATAGTCAAATTTATTTTTGGAAACGATACAGGCAAATGTTTCCAACTGATGTCCGATTTGAGTGCTGGTGAACAGACCGCCTTGGAAATGCTGTTCGCAAGTTCGCCATTCACAACTATTAGTCGGCACAATTTTTCGTGTCTAACGAAATCGCTGCCGCTTTGGACAATACCAACATCGGAAAATTCGTTTTGTACATCGTTGAAAAGACTACCAATCTACAAATAATTGTCATATAAAGGGAGAATTCCACGGCCATTCTGAAGCACTCGTCGGAGTTACACCAGACGTGACATGCAATTTGATCCGTTTATTTGCATTCATTTTTGGGTGGCACATGTTTTTTTTTCACTTGTGAACACATCAAAGTCTATGCTCCTCACACAAAGTTTCAGTCGATTTTCTTTCCATTTCTAATAATTTTTTCGTCTTCATATTCAGCCTGGTGATTGTTTGATCTCAAGAGTCTGTACATATGATTGAACACAGAGTGACCTCACTTGAGGCAATTGCAAACGCCGATTAATCATAACCATTTTATGCTAACAATCAATTGTATTTGTATTTGTATTTGTATTTGTATTCGTATTGAAAATGAAGTCTTCAGAATAAATCTTAATAAATGTGCGACAAAATTCATTGTGTTTGATTTGTTGAAACCATTGTTTTGAAGATAAAATTTGGTATGTAAATATTGCTTTAACCCTGCACAATTTTTTGTTTTTGAATCATTTTGTGCCACGATAAATAGAGAAAGACCTCGAAAGAAAATTGCGTGTTTGTCGAGAAAATCGGAAAAGAGTCAAGAGTGTCAAATCACTATAAAAGCTTGAAAAAATTAAATTTCATAAAACTAATGATGCAGAAAGTCAAATTGATGTGTTTTGGTCCTACGAGTACCAATTTTACAATTGAAAAGAATGTTCAAGACCCAAGATAAGAGGAGGAAAAATGTGGAAATCTGCTATAATTTCGCATTTTTTATTCCAGCCCGGTTGCGTCAATCAACTTGAGTGTGCTGCGCATTTAAAAAAAAATCATTTTTCAATCTCATCTCAAATTTGCTGGAAATGAGTTCAAATATAGGGAAGGTACAAACTCTGAAGGGAAGGTACAAACTCTTGAAGCGATCAAAGTACATCGTTCATCATATTATTAGTCAAGTATCTCCAGAAAACAAATTTGCTGCATCTTGCACGACATGGTTGGAGTGATAGTTGCCCCAATTCTGAATCGTCATAGCATAAAAGAATAGTGGCCTACCCATCATAATAGCCCATTCATTATAAAGAGCACTTTGTTTTCATTCGGAATTAACGAACAACAACAATCCAGGCTTTGGGCAGTTCTAATATTTCTCCATAGATGGCAAACAGTTTCACATGGTACAATTCATTTTCAAGTAAATCCGTTGATTTTAATGGATCAGATAATTGAATGTTGAACGATTTGAAGAATATATGGATTTTCACTCCCCAAGTAGCCAAATTTATTCTTATAAACGGCATAGAAGGAGGAGCACTAGCTTACTTACCGAGCTGATTTTGATCACCGCAATCAAAATGCTTTCATTTCGATCATATCAACAATTCTATTGAAATGAAAAAAAGTCATTGTTCATTTTGAATCTATTATTTTCTTTAATCCTTTATTCTTAGTTTAAGATCTTATTATTCGAAAATTACAATTGAACACATGAAGTCTATTAACAACCTAATTTTTATCTCGTGTTCAGTGGATTGGAGTATTCAAATTGTCTTTTATTTTCAAACAGAACCGAAAACAATGTGTCAATTTTAAAGATTGATGTTGATGATTTTGGATATGTTCAAATCTAAATTACCACGACATTATATATCACTCATATATTAATGCTATTGAACTTAAAATGTGTTAATGAAAAATTGATTGCCGGAACGCAGAGCGGTCAACGAGCGCTCGTTCGTTCGTTCGTATGCGAACATGTTCGTTTATTCGTTCGTAGAATCTACGAACATGTTCGTTCGTTCGTTCGTTCGTTCGTTCGTTCGTAGAATCTACGAACATGTTCGTTCGTTCGTTCGTAGGTAAAATTTTTTTTTTTTTTTTCAAACATAAAATTTTTTTTATTTCTTAAAAATATAGGAATGATCCTATGTACTCAATAATACTGTAAGCACTATAATACTGTAATTTTCAAGTTGTGAACATTATTTTCGCACAAAAAATTGAACGAATATTTTTTTGAGTTTCCACTTGCACAATTGAATGCATAAAACTAATTAAAAACATCTTCACTCAACAAAAAACATCGCTGAAAATCTTACTTTCACTCATTGTGGTTTGTGTGTCCGCTGGCGAGAATAGAATGATATGATAATTAGCTGGACATGAACGTGGAAGTTGTAAAATGATGAAAGTAATGCATACAGAGAGAGAGTGAGAGAGATAAAAATGACAAAGACAGCAAAGTTCATCTCTTTTTGTCATTTATGGTGTGCAATTCAGAGAGACTTGTTGCAGTGATGATTTAAATCACATAGACAATGTTTTGTTCTGTGATCGTACAACACACACAGTTCGAGCGACAACGTGCTTCATGATATCACAGCAACAAGACGAATCTGAAATGTGCACACCATACTTGGCAAAAAGAGATAAACACTGTCTTTGTCACTTTTTTTCTATCTCTCTCTCCGAATGAATCACTTTCTTCGTTTCACAACATTTGAAACCAGCATTATAATTGCTTCTTTCTCTTCTATCTGTCGTATGCGAATATACGAACCAAATTGAACAGAAGAAAGTGATTTGCGGCGATGTTCTTTTCGTTGAGTGTTGTAATGTTTTTTTTACCTTTATGTTCAATGAAAAAATTATTGTTTATCGTCTACATTCTATAAAAATAGTATAGCATTCAATTATTTCGAATGGATTTTGCTTTTCGCATTTGAATTGCTCCGTTAATATCGCCTTCTCTTATTTTGGGCTGTTTAAATAACATTCATTTTTTTTTAAATGGAAATTATAGGATCATTCCAATATTTTTTGAGAAATAAGAAAAATTTATGTTTGAAAAAAAAATGAAATTTTACCTACGAACGAACAAACGAACATGTTTGCAGATTCTACGAATGAACGAACGAACGAACGAACGAACATGTTCGTAGATTCTACGAACGAACGAACGAACAAACAAACATGTTCGCATACGAACGAACGAACGAGCGCTCGTTGACCGCTCTGCCGGAAAGATGTGGATTTTATTGCGATGATTGGAAAAAAATACAGATATTTGACTTTATTGTATCGAAGAAACAAACCAACAACTTTCTAGTCAAATTTTTTTGAGATTTTTTAAAATTGATCATTTCAATAGAAATCAAAGCTTTTAAAACGAAAAACTAAAAGAAAAAACACGAAATATTATATTCGAAATTGGGCGATTCTTCTATGGTTTTGCTATTGCTGTGTTCAACATATTCCTTTTCCCGTTTCGTTTGTATTCACAGTTATGCTGAAATGTCCTTAAAAACAACAATTATCTACTAAATATAGGAGGTTCATAGTTTCAATATCAACTTATTCTAATGACATGACCAAATTATTCCAATTCATTCATTTGTTAGCTCGTTTGCGGTGATTTTCCTCAAACGTTACCATTTTCGGGCTTCCGTCAACAATTCAATACATACTAATAATAAATTTGCTTTGTATCTATAAAATCTGTGTGTAAATGACTCTTTTTTTTTCTTCAACAGAAAAACTGTTGCTTCCAATATCAGCAATACGTTGAACGTATTGAGTATTCGAATCCATATTAAACGAAAAAAAATAAACAAACAAAAATGAACGCTTCTTTGCAATATACTCAAAGAATTAAATGAAAATTTGTGAATTGCCTTCTTCATTAAAGATCAGCAAATGAATTGATACGTGATCGTGAATGTTTTTGTAGTATGTGTTCTGAATGAGAGGTATGTAAATGTGTGGTGTTCTGTGTTCTGGAACGGGTGTGGAAAATTTAAACAGTTTTACTGATTTTGAATAAATTGTCATGTCACTTTGTTCGTTGTCAACAGTTGTTTAGAGTGTTTTCCACTTTTCTTGCAGCAATTTTTCGTTTTTTTCTTCTAATTTTCCTTATATGTCATCTAAATCGTCTATTCCGAAATTTCGATCGCCAAATCGTCTTATAATTGCGAGTATTTTCTTTCCATGTGGAACATATGTGTCGCTGAGCATAAAAATGGGAATACAGATCTGTTACAGCAACAACCGAACATAAAATATTGTTCCCTAAAAACATTACATGAATTTCTATCCAACGCGAGTGTAACATGAGCTAATACTGTTTCTAATGCAACTCATGTTCGGTTGTTGCTGTAACAAATCTGTATTCCCATTTTTATGCTCAGCGACACATATATATGTCGTTCGGTCCTTAATGTTTAAATCAAAACAAAAAAACAAAATAATGACGTTTGCAGAAACGTCAGTGCCTGATTCAAAGCCATAGCAAGACTCGTTCTGGCTCCCCATTTAATGGCAAATCATTTAAATTGTGTGTTCCAGCCAATTGTTAATTGTCAACAATACAGTAATACTATTTCACCACTCCAAGCCAAATGTATGGGCCATACCAAGGGTGAATCACTCAAAAGTAATACAACGCTGCTAAAAAAGTAATACAACGTGAAAAAAGCAATACAACTTTTTAGTGAATTGCCCCTTGGGCCATACAGTATGGCTGTGGCTTTCATTTCACTTGGAAGTTGCGTTTGTGTGTGTATGTTATTTGAAATCATTTTCTAATATCAAATATCGGTCAAAAAAGTTGTTTGCATAAAATTTATATCCGTCAACTTCGAGGAGTGGTTCTCCAATTTTTTTTCTTTATTCTCGAAATAGTGCTGACGAAATGAGTACATCGAAAGTGATTTCTTTTTAGTTCGTAAATTGTTGCTAGATTTATCCCTGGCGTATATTGTTATCAATTTCGATTATAGCATTTTTTTCGTGCATTAGAAAGACTAGAAAGCATATGTGTTTTTTGTTATGAAAATAGAAGGACATGATGTATGTTTTCTTATTTTTCCCTCCAATGCTTATTAAGAAGGAGTAACACCATTTGATTTTTCTTCTTTTTCGTATTAGGTTTTGCATTACATTCTTGAGCGAGTGTTGCATCTTGAGAGATAGCGAAAGCAGCCGACGTTTTCTTTTTCAATGCGATTCAATTCGATTGAATACAACAATGTGAAACCAATTTGTAGAAATGAAAATGAAAATACCGACCAAAAAAAACGCAACGGCACACCATTTCAATTAACGAAGAAACGTTTGTTTAATGAGCGTTTTTAAAAAACTGTTCACTGGAATTTATTTTCATGAAATTTTTAATGGCCGGTGTTTCGTGAAATTGATATCGAAAATTGTTGTAACGCTATTGACTTTCATCATCCACAGCATAGCATCACTGGGAGTAGGTGAATCGAAAGAGTTTATCAAACGAGGAAAGATAAGCCGAACAACAAGAGAGAAAAAAAACAGAGTAAGGTATTTTGTTCATGGCCATAATTTCGGTCGATCGGCAATTTGCTAATAAATGCACACAAAAGAAAAAAAATTAAATAAAAGTCGGCAGTTTATGATGAAGATTGCACACAGAAAAAAGTGAAAACAAACAACTTTTTCTGCGTTTGCATTATTCGCGCACTCATTTGTTCTCTCTCGATGTGTGCTCTGAACACGAGCCAACCTCAATCGTGAGCGCTACACACACTCAACATATAAACATAATGTAATTAAAGAAAAGAAAATGTGTTCGCAGAACTAGCGGTTCGTGTGTGATAAGACAATAAAATTGGGAGTTTTCACACCGTAACATTACAACATTTTAGTATTCTTGTATTTCTTTCGTTTGATTTGTTTTTTCTCTCTCTCTCTCTCTCTCTCTCTCTCTCTCGACAAACTATTGCGTTTATCGGTAGTTCTATGTTCTATTAGCTTACGAAATTATGCGATCTCTAGTCTCTATACATTTAACTAAAAATTAAGTAAAAGTCGTTTTTTTCTTCTCTTCATTCGATTCATTCAGAGCAATCGGAAACGAAATTTCCCTAACCGCAACAGAAAAAAAACTCTCTAGTTATATAAGCGCAATATCAAACTTTTCATCTTTTTCACTCTTTGAAATTTTAATCTGTGCTTTTTTTGTTATTGATTCCAAGAATGAAAACTGTTTGTGATATTAAAAAAAAATGTTTCAACTGATCGAAATTGGTCCGTGCGGGAAGTGTGTTTAAGCAATTTTCCACGCATCTTTTACCTAATGATTGTCTCATAAAATAATTAGCCTCCCGATCACCGATCAGCGAAAAAAAAAAAATAAAACGAACCAAATCCAAATATAATCTCCTATTTATGCGCGGCAAATCAAACCAAAAAAATTACGTTATATCATAGAACGAGCTTTATGTGTATGCGTGTTTTTTTTTCTCTTCTGTTGGTCTTAATTTTATTTTCATATGATTATTGCACCTTTTCACTCTCTCTCTCTCTCTCTCTCCCTCTCTCCCTTTGTTTTCTTCTTCATCTCAAACGCCTTATTTTCTGCTCGCAGTTGTGGTCATCATCTGCTCTGAACGGTAACACGTTTTGATTGAGGTAACAAAAGAATGTTAACGCTAGTAGACAAGAGTTTGCTCGAACATATACAAAACTCGACTAATAACAACGTAGAAAGAAAAAAAAATAGCACAACAACAGCAAGCACATGGATCGAAGCAATGTAAATGAAAAAAAAAAAAAAATCAATTAGGAAAACCATCGTCTCTCAATTGAATTTGCGATGTGCATTCGCTAAATCTTATTTCATTAGTTGTTCCACATTGAAGTTGTAGAGAGAAGAAGAAAAAAAGCTTTCACTTCATCGCACAACATAAAATACATTTCTATTGAACCATATATGTGATACATACCTGTTTTCAGCTTTTGAAACTTTGTAATTTTGTGCTCTCCTTGGTTTCAATCGATTTTCATGGTACCTTTCATTCTTTTATTTGCCGTATTTTTGTTTTGTTGCTTCTTCTTCTTCTTCTTCTTGTATATTACGTTTTTTTTTCGTTTAGTTTCTTTCTTCTTGTTTTTTTTTTTGTTAAATCGGAGCAGCCGTTCTTCAAACCATTGACTGTTGTTCTGCGTTGCGTTTTTCTTTTCTTCTTCTTCGAAATTTAATTTAATTATTGCGTTGCTTCTTCACTTATTTTTGTGTGATGAGATGAATCTCGACACGCTGTCACAAACTCTGTCATTACCACCAAACGATCTAATATATCATGCCAGGATGAACATTTCCGCGCTGGAAATACACATTCGGATTGCTGCTCATCGTTGGCTCAAGCGTTGTATACAAATTATTCTCATCCGTTGGACGTATGAAAAGGCCTATTCATTTTCGTATGTCGCGAATGATTTATGAAAATGAAAAAAAAAAGAAAAACAAATGCCAAGGAAATCAATCATTGAAATTAATTGAATGAAAAAAAAAGTAAGTACACGTTTTGTTCAACCATTTGAAATTATTGTGTTTCGATTGTTTCTTCTTGAGGAGAAAATGAAACTTTTTCCATAGAACTCTTGATTAACTGGTATTAATACAATTTGGAAAATGTTTTTCGTTGCATCTTTCCCTCAAAATAAAGTGAAATCAAAAATTCTCCAGAATGAAAGAAAAATTCGTAGCCGAAAAACCAATGAAAAATAAAAGAATAAGCCGCTTAAGAACTGGTTCATGCTGCTTAATCAGAATTATTTGCGTAATTTTCAATAAATGGTCAATTTGATTGCGCATCATTCTTCTTTATTTTCTGCACTTATCCTTTCGAACCGAAGAAGTACATCATGGATTCGTGACGATGATATGTGGTGCAAATGATGTGCGTGTATGTCGTGTGTACGCCGATACGTGTGTGGTTAGTGTGTTTGTATGTAATATGTTGACTAAAATAATAAATAAAATTTGTATGTTTTGGATGAATGGTATATGTATACATGAAGAAGTAGAAAAATACTTGCAATTTAAAAAAAAAACCGGAGAAAATGAAAAATATTAAAATTTGAACGAAAAAAAAAATGGAAAAGAAAAAATAAAATTCACCTAAAAGAAAGCCAAAAAGTAAAAATTGTACAATTGTGCCGTGTGTATGTGTAATGTTCAACACATGCTATGTGTATCATCGCATGAATAAATTAAAATTTATTGTTTCAATTTACTTTCACCTCTTACTCATGCGGTCGGTATAGAGAGATGTACTTGTGTGTTTGTGTTTGTGTGTGTGTGTGTGTGTTTATATGGCGGTTTTTGTTTGCCAGAAAGTCGATTTCTTACGCATTGCAATTGTGCGCGTGCGCTCGCGCATTGCTCACTTATTTGTCTAAACTGTATGATTAATTTCTTTCTTTTTAACAGTAAAATACCTTGCACAATAACATCTACCAAATAACCATGATCGTGTATGTTTTACGCTATCTATCTTGTGTGCAATGCAATTTTGAACGAAAAATTAATTGATAATTAATCGGCGTATCGTTGTTGTTGTTGTTTTTTCGGTTTCTTTCTGTAGTCGCTAGTTTGATTTGTGCGTTTTCCATTTGCTTGCGATCGAAAGTAAAAGAAAATTACCTTATGTGCGCACACTGGAAATCTGAAAGCAAATCGTAAGAATTCGACTTTTTTGCAATTGGGATGCCGTGTCGGTGTGATTATGTCGGTTGTGTATATGTGTGTGTATGTTTAGGGTTGTGTATGTGTGAGTGGATGTGGATGTGTTTCTCGTGATTGATTACGATTTGGGCACGATAAAACAAACCTGGGTGATATTGTGCAAGATGATGGTATGCATATGGTTGGTATTGTGGTTGATAGTGATGACAATAATCTTTGTGCTGCTTTTGATGTGATTTCGTGCGTTGACATTGGTAATAGTATTGCAATGGGTACTGTGGTGATGGTATATAGTGCACGTTCTGGGTCTGAGGCAATATGAAATAGTATGCATGCAGTGCACATTCTGCACATCGTGTACAACCGACGCCCCCCACGCCACAAAATGATTTACATATTGAGATGTAACATTAAATTCACAAGAAGATACAAAGACAATTAATGGTTTGGGCATTTTGCTTTTCATTTCAATGTGTTTTTTTTTCTGTAGGTTTTGGATGTCATGCAGATCATTTTCTATCGTAACTTAAATGGCAGGCTTAATTAATGTGATATGTTAAAAAGCGTTAAGGTTGGTCAGAGGAGGGATTTTATCGTCTACGAAACAAACAAACATAAATGTCTACGAATTGCAATTTACATTGATAATAATAGGACGATGCTATATAGAAGAGATCAATAAATGTTGGTGATTTCGGTTAATTAAAGTGTAGATTATTCGGATGTTGACATTTAAGTGTTTCCTCTCGTTTAATGCAAATGCGCATCGCGCATCTTTTATTTGCATAGAACATTAACCATCAGAGATAGAGCGACAGATAGGGGGATAAAGAGAGAGGGAGAGAGAGAGAGATAAGTATGGACGCAACACTAAAACAAGAAATGACTATTCTCGATCGCTAAAAGTGACTCTTTCTCTTCCAGCTAAATTGCATAATGTGTGCATTGAGTGTGCGGTGCACACACAAATCAATCGGGAGATCTTTACTTTTATGCATATATGAATGCGTTAGAGATCTAAAATATACGCTTACGGTGAAACCACTCAATCATTTGTACGATTATCATAGTCTCCTTTCGATCTTCTTGAATAAATTTACGAGTGCAAACGAGTCGCGCTTGGCCACATTATAATATGCCGTGTGCGGTGTGTGTGTGTGTGTGTGTGCAAATACATTGCTGAACCTTGTGAACTGTGCTTTCCAACGAGTGATTGACCGTACGCTTTCGAGCTATGATCGTTTCGGCTCAGAATAGCAAACTCACATAAATGCATGTGTGGTGTCTGTGTTTATCGTTTCCATAAGCAGCAGCAGTGCATAAAATCGTCGCTTAGTTTTGCGTTTGTTTGTCATCAATTATTGTTGATGTAAATGGTTGACTCTTTCTCTGTGCTCGTTTCTCTACCTTTTGTTATGCTGATTCAAAGCACTCCAGTTCTTTCGAACGGATTCGCCGAATTGTTATGCTGATTCATCAAATTGATTGGTTTCTGTCTCCTACGTGCAAAGTCATTGGCATTTTTATTTTCTCTGTTCTTATTTTTTAGCCTTTTCACTACAATTTTTGCCTTCATTTCAACGACAAAAGCTTTCATTTTAAGCAAACGATCACGTCGATCTTCATTCTAAGCGATATCTCTGCGACCAATTCGAGTTTACTTACTGAGTACGGTTTTATGTTTGAACAACGATCTTTCAGATCAATGTTCTCGCTCACTTTTGAGCCGAATCGACTGACTATTCAGTCACATAAAATCACAGTCTCATTGGCTCAATATTTCTGATGCAAATTGCTAAAGAATTGCCTAACCAAATGGAAATAGATACACTTTTATTTCGAAAAAGAGTCATTGAAATATATTAGAAAGCACATTGTGGCCATAGTATAACATATAAACCAGTTATAAAATAGAAATTCATTACTCACATTTGTGCATATAATATATATTTCTTGATCGAAATGAGTGTCCATGATCATTATAAAATGTAAACTGTGAAAACAACAATCTAAACCGTTGTCTTTGTCATTGTCTCCGTCTTTGTTGCGGCGACACCGGCACCAATGCCTGGGCTACGTAGGATATAACGAAGAATTTTTCAAATTGAAACCGAAAAATGTCACACACCGAAATAAAAAAAAGAAAAGAAACAAGAATGTAGCAATTGTTTTCTCGAAAATGAGAAATGGCAGCCAAAGAATAGAACAACGACAAAAAACGCGAAATGATGTGGAAAAAAGGTAACCACATCGACGCAAATGTTGATGTCCATACGAAAAACTGGTTTTGTTTAGCATTTTTCTTTTGATACATTGGTGCTCGGATTTGGTGATATACATAAATAGTAGCAAGACAAGAAAAACCGAAATGTTTGAGAGAAGAGAGAGAGAGAAAAAACCCGCACACAAAATAGCATAACATATATGGCAAACAGTTCAGACTGGAACGTTACAATTTACATGGATTTTGGCACGCACATCAAACATTCATACACCTTGACAGCGAGATCTAGCACAGAGTCTTATACACTATGGATTTTCTCTGAATGGACGGACGTGTTTTTTATGGCCAACAACTCACTGTTGACTATATATTCAAATTGACCGTTTTACAATCACCAATTAGCTATCTTTTTGTTTAAATTGATCGAAATGGCGCTTGAAAATCAAATTTGTTGGCATTAACTAATGTTTGCATAATACCCGCTTTGACAAAATCAAAGGGATATTGCAACTTTTTTAACCAGAAAAAACGCCATCTTACGTCGTGCCCGTAAATTATTTTACTGTACATTTCGATGGTAGAGCTTGAACAAAAGTTTAACACTATGCATAAATTTGGAAAGAGCTTGATAAACTTGATGAAATACATATATTTTATGGTAGTTGCAATACCCCTATGGACAAAATCATTTCATATAAGTAAGATACATTTTTTTTATTTCTGTCATCAACAAGTTGCCGGTTGTTTTCTTATCAGCATTTCCGGTCAGCACTCTCAGAACAAAAGTCTTGAAATTTAATTAACGACTTGATGAAGAAAGACACACACACAGAGAGAGAGAGAGAGAGTGAGAGTGAGAAATGTCACCTCATTTTCTTCGTGATTGCAAATGAATAACCGGAAATTTTGCATGCTCATTTCGATCAATATTTTCGGAAGAGTTTACCAACAGCGATCAAAACGAAAGAAAAACATAAACAAATAAAAGCTATTCCAACGAAACGGCCTTTCAGAAAGAATACACATTTTATTGTCATGACACATATTTTTCTTTTCGTCTTCGTTTCGTCAACAGTAATTTGGGCTACCGTTTTATACTCTATTTGTATCACTGTGTTGATTTCTTTCTCTTACAATTTTAAAACTGTTCAAATGAGTTGGGCTGATTTTTTTTTCTTCTCAAAAAGCATGACTTTTTCTGTTATTGGTTTAATGAATACGCATTTCGGTGCTATTTCATTTGGTTGATTTTTTTTTCATCTCTACAGTGTAGACAAGATGATGTTTTGTTTTTTTTTCCTTCTCTTCTGTTTGTAAGCTTGTCTGAAGTGTAAAAAAACCGTAAACAAATCTCAATGAAGAGAAAGCAAATAACTTGGCTCAGTTGATTTGATAATCATTTTTTATATGATTTAAATATTCTGATACGCTTAAGATTATGACAGATAAGATATTGAAAGTTATAATAAACAAGATATACATTCACATAATGCAAACGGTTGAATGGAAAAATAGGCCCAATCAACTAATATTATTTCTTTAATGTAAAGCCAGTTTTGATTTCTTCTTCAAAGCTTTGTTGTTTCAAGAAATTTTTGGTTTTATTTCACCCAAAAATATAAAGATAAGACACACTATACAGTACAATTAACGATGAATGAACACGTGCGTTTTTTCTCCGAACTGACGATTGATTACGGACAAAATGTGTGTGTGCTGATCTGCGAAGCGTTTGCGTTATACATTCTGTTGTTGTTATACATTTGAAGTCATTCTGCAAATTAATTAACCAAATTGATTTGCGAGATTCTTTAGGTTTGTTATCTGGATCTCGTTGAAAGCCGCAATCCCATTAGATTCTCTTCACTTATTTTCCGTTTCGGAATAATGAATGTAACAGTTATTAATTTTTTTCTTTATTTTGTTGGAAATGGCCACTAATGGATTGCCATTCGCATACTATATCATTCGCAATCGTATTTTCGTATAAATTAGTATGAAACGTCTGGCCAATTTATTTGTTCGTTTTTATCCATTCGTTCGTTTTACTTTTTTTTTTGCTGCCATGAATATTGTCGGAATTGTGGAAAAATCTCAATGTCTTTTCTTTTCCTATTTGCGCATTGTTATTATTATTCGCAAGTTTTCTGAATATCAGGCTCATTACGATCAGATCAGCATGCTTAAACATGAAAATTTAAAAAAAAATGATGGTGGTTTCTTTTGTTGTCTCGCGGCATTTTTGACAGTTACATGTACCGTAGATAAATAGATAAGTTGTGAATGGTTGTTGTTGTTGTTGTGGCTGTGGTTGATTTTGCTTTTATCGTTGCGCTCGTAGCCCGTACTTGAATTGTATGGAATCTATCTGCATAGCGATTGCATATACTATTATTTTGTTATTATTGTCCTCTTACGCAGAGAGTTCAAGTCTGGTGTCTATATCGAAGTTCAATTGAACTTTTCGTCTCGCAATTACGTTGTATAATCGCAAGCGCAAAGGTGACATAATATATCGGCACAAAAGTACAATTCGTTTGTTTATTTGTTTTCCCTCAAGATCGAATCTGTGTTGAAATCATAGAAATATTAATAAATTTGAACCGTGTATGCGTTGGGAGACCTGAATCGGAATGCAGAGAGAATTGTACAATGCACTGATTTTCTTGCAGATTTTAATCAAACAGTTTTATATTTTAAGTTGTTGCATGTTTTTTTTCTTCTCTCATTTCGATTCTTGGTAGCACTTCTAAAAATCCCAATTGTGCCATGGAATTTAGGAGATTATGCGTTCTAGTTAATGCCATATAGTTGTGTTTTTCTCTATCGAAAAGCGTAATATTTCGATTCAATGGTTGGAATGGGCTTACAATCAAACCAATCGAAAATCATATTGAAGCCACTTACTGGGCGCAAAATGAGTAAAAGCGCGCACATTGCACGAAAAAGATATAGCATATACATATATGTGGTGAACGAAAGAAAAAAAAATACTGAAAAATAATTCAAAAAAACAATCAAGATTACGAAACATGGCTCATGAGCACTGAGCGAAATTCATTAAGCGCACGACTGAACTATTCGCCGATCATAGAGCGTGCAACACTCATCTTATAGGCCCGCGTGTACATTTGTTATGTGTGCGCAAACAATGGATCGACATTACAGCTCAAATTCTCGTACCAAAAATAGCAAACCGACGAGAGAGAGAAGGACTGGCGCGTTCGTGTATAGACCAAGCAACCAACCAACATGTCATGTGTGTGCGCGCTTGCAAGCACCGCTGTTTTGTTGTCGCTTTTCGGTTTCGAATCATACATATTTTTTCCATTTGCCTTTTTCATATTTTGTTTTGCTGCTGCCGTTTTTGTTGCTGTTGTATTTTTTCAAAATATATTTCCGCAAGTTCATTCGTTTCGTCTTTGAAGAAAGAACGGTTGTATACATTTTTTTTTCATCGTTCAGCTCGAACAACAGAAATGAAGAAAAAAAAACGCACACAACAAACTCTCTCGAAAACGAAACGAACGAAAATTCACTTGTGTTCACCAATACAACACAAAACGAACGACAAAATGCGCTTTGCGCGGAAAAAAAAGTTGTACAAAACCCAAAGGCAACAAACATTACTACATTGTGAGCGCCATGGTGATACGCAGAAACAAGATTTTTCAAACTTTCCAATTCGGTTTCATTGTAGCAGCAATACAAGTTGCGGTTGTTTTGTTGCTTCTACTGCTGCTGCTGCTGCTGCTGCTGCTGCTGCTGCTGCTGCTGCTGCTGCTGCTGCTGCTGCTGCTGCTATTTATTTCGTATGTTTCTTCTTATTTTTTCTTCATTTTTCTTCTCTTCTGGGCTTTTCGTAAATCGCTTTTTCCAATATATTTATAATTTAGTCACTTGATACTACTCTCGCGATGGATTCGAATTCGTTTGCCACGATTTGTTTGAGCGTTATTACATGTTCTTTTGAGCAATTAAGTAATGCTACCATTCATAAAATAGCTGACATGCAGAAACCAATTAATAAAACATGCATAAATTGTATGCCATCATCGACACCACCACCACCAAAACTACTACTACTACTACCACCACCAAAATCTATATGATCTTGATCAAATGCGAAAGAAGTTTGTGCAAAATGAAGAAAATATATGATGATGGTGTTTAGATGTGAGAAAGCGACGATTAAATGCAAAATTACAGTTTGGGTGTTGAACACGAAAAACAAAGCTGTACATAAGCAACGTCTGCTTACAACAGGATATTTGGCGTCATTTTTTTCTTTTGATCAGACAGTATAAAAACAAATTCTACCAAATTATGCAATAGAATGACTTTGAAAAAAAAAATATTCGAGATTCGTCTTCCACACTACACAACAAGCGAAGGTAATATGAGAAAGAAGACAGACAGACAGACGCAAGAAAAAAGCGAAAACAATGGCAAATTACAACTTACCGTTTCCCAATGAAGCGACGGCTTGATGCTTTATCGTTGTATTGTTTACTGTGTTGGTGTTTGATGCAAGCGTATTTCCCATAACACCGTATTTTATCGGTTTAAAGTGGAAAAATGATGGTGAATAACCAGATCCGGTGCGACTAAGAGAACTCAATTGCTCGTCACGATCTGCGGTAAATAGACCTATTCACATCAATAATTTCAGCATTCTTCGTATGTAAAGTAAAGGCAATGGAGCACAGCCCAAATATAAACGGCACCAACAAAAAGTCGCCAAGATCAAATCATTTTGCGAAAAGTACAAAATTGTTTGTTTGCTTGTTGAAAATGTTTAAAAAACAATCGAAATGTACAGAATGGAAAAAAATGTAGAAATAAAAACGATGACAACAGTACCGCAGTACATTGGCGCAGGCAACATTGTTGCTACATTAGCGCACATTTAAACTGGAACCAAGCGCCACAGTTATTTGATTGTACTTGACAATATTTTTTTTCTTTTCGTTCATCTCAAGTCAATCTTAACCCGTTTCTATATCTAAAGAATAAATCTGGCTTGGGTTCCTTTTCGTAATTCCACAAACCACAGCAGAATGAAAAAAAAAACAACTAAAAGTAAAAGGCTGTGATGGGAAATGATGCTGTTTTGTGGTTTTAGCATTTTTTGGAATCGCTTTTATAGTGTCTTATCATTAAAATGCAACCAAGAGCACAGCATGAAGCTTCGGGTTTGCTTAAAAAGCGTGCTGCGATTTGAACGGGGTAAAGTCGAGTTCAAGTGAAGTAAAATCATTATGGATGTTTAGCGATATTCTTGAAGTTATTGCTAATGGAGTTTCCTTACGGAACAAAGAGCGTCTTCATGTAGGAACCATGCGCTTCATATATGCTAATAAAAAAGGTAAGTCATGTATCGTATCGTATCGCTGACGCATATTTTCAGTTTAAAATTTACATTCATTTTTTTGTTATTTTGAGTAAAAACAAAAATATTATTATGCTAAAGCAATATACGCAATAAACCACAAAATTGTTTGGTTTCGAAGTAATTTGAATAATTTCTGTCTTTCAACCAAGTCATTTGTTTAGCAATTTCGTTACTTTTTCGCATTTTTTTTTTCTTCTTCTTCATGGAATTTGATTACTATCGAGAGTTTTTCCGGTTGTTTTTCGTACTTTTTGTTGGTTGGTGTATATTTAATTTGAGCCCAAAGTATAATAATTGGTGTATAGTAAATAAGAAGTAGCTCACCTTCTTTTCCCATCGCTGCTAATTGTCGACCTTTCGGCATGAACATTACAAGAAATACTGTAGCTGATGTCGCGATCAAGCCAAATGCTAGACAAGCGTCTTTGTGTCGATCGGCAACTGCGAGCCCGCAAAGCGTCCAGCCCAGCCAAATGGGTATTGAACCGCATATTGCCAAGCCAATGTAAGTCGCTTCTCGGTAATTTTCTCGAATCCGTCGCGATTTGATAGCAAGCACCGCAACGAATAATATCAAAAATATGACATAAACCAATGAATAGAGTAGATCGGTGAAATGGGTCTTGCACAAGGGTATTGTCGTGGTCATGGATATATCTTGTGCGGTAAGTAGCAGTGAATGGTGTGTTAGACTCAATGGGCCATTTCGACTCAACGGTACCGAAACGGATTCCACATCGGCTGGTGTCGTAAGCAACCATTGTCCACCGATTGCCACTTGTATTAATACAGCGAATAACAGTAATAGGCCTTGGTATGGTGCCGGCAAATAAACACCACTATTTAAGCTAATTAAGAAAACGCATTTCACCAGCAATGATGCGAATACCAAAGCGAATGCGACACCAGAACCAAAACGTATCAGTCCACAGCTGCCAACGGTTGGATTTAGCGTTAGTACGGCTGCGAGACAGGCGCACAAAAATAAGCCCAACAACAGCATTTGACCCAAGAATAGATGTCGTCGACTAGGCGAAGTTTGCCATGCTTTGCACAGAACAAAAATCTCAAAAGCGGCCATCATTAGCATGACGAGCGAGGTGAGCACCAGTACTGGCACAACCCAAGGCTCTTTTCGCAGCCCAAGCGAATGATGTGTACTGACTATCGTCGGCTGTGACGAATTCTTAAGCAAGCGACTATGGCTTAATGGCGGCACTATTGATGCTTGGCTCTTTGGACGACTCGGTAGAATAATACCTTGAGTTTATTTTTTCGATTTTTGCAATTTGCGAGAGACGAAAGAAGAAAAATAATAAACGAAATTAGAATCGATCGAATCGGCCAACAAAGAAACACGATCAAATGAAGCCAAATTCTTTCTCTCCGTTTTCGGTCCATTCACACGCCGATTTTTTTCTTTCGTTTCTTCTTTCGATGAGAATCGACAGACAAAACGGAGAGAAAAATAAAGATCGCGTGAATCAGGATTCATCAATTCTAACGGGTATGGCTTAAATGTTATGTATATTATAGGTATTTTAGGTATATATGTACCACCAGGCAAGTGATGCGATGATGGAATGGTAGACGACGATGTGGATGGCACTACAAAAAACTCTGTTGACATTTCGAGACGGTGGGCTTGTGCCGAAGTGGAATTGCCATTCCGTAAATCGATTTCGTTGCTTAACTCAATATCCGAACTACTGCCATCGCCACCGCCACCGCCACCACTACCGCCACCATTTGAACACGGTTCACTTTTATTATTGCACAAATTATTCTCAACACTTGGATCACTGTACGCATCTGCATTTGCACCGATATTTAAACTTTTGTGCTGACGAAGCAACGCATTGTAGATATCATTTTCGTTATCAATCACATCAAATTCAACACTATCCACATTATCATCGCTATTATAGACATTATTATTGTATTGCAATGGGGCGGCCAATCTTTTATGATGATTTGTCGTCGTCGTCAATGGTGGTGGCGGCGACGGCGGTGGTGACTGCTGATGATGCGGATGCTTACTCTGTCGGCTCGGTCCATTTGTACTGTGTTCGTTGTAACTTACTGAGACACTATTACTTCCACTATGTGAATCAATTGCACTAGCACTTGAACTTGCTTCATTTATATAAAAACCGTGTTCAGTCTTATTACTATTATTGCTATTTACGCTATTATAACTATGAATATCGGCGCTAAAGTTAGGGTTCGACATTGCATTTATGTCGGTGGAAAATTTGTTGTTATTATTACTGTTATTATTATTGTTCGTCGTTGTTGTTCTTAATTTTTCAACTTCGATAAATGTACGAGTTCGCGGTGATATGCGATCACCGAATTTCGGCAACACAATCGATTCCTCTGCATCCGATGAATATGATATTGTGCTGCGTATCCCGAACAAAACGCATACCCAAAACAATGTTCCCGAATGCATTTGTAATCGAATGATTAAACGCGTTATTGAATTCAGTACACTGTTCGTTGCAATCGATGTCAGCTTAAAAGCTGACCGCGTTTGCTGACTGGCCATTTCTCAACTGACACGAATACCATACGCGCGCTTTACCCAGAGTCTCTCTCTCTCGTGCGCGAAAACCGATTTTTGTTGTTTAAATGCGAATGGCCAAACTGTGTTCTTCTTGTGAGCATAAGCGCTAACCATTCAGCCAGACCGCGCTCTCGACGAAACAAAACCAGATTGATGTCTGAGCCAAAGACTTTCGTTGTGTTCGGCCCCATGCATCTATCCATCGACACGGTATCGTTCTGCGAATGAAAAGAAGAAGAAAAAACCACCAACGAAATGCACAAACACACATGCACACGCGCGCGAATGTGCACACAAACACATCGACACCGACAAAACGGCAAAGCGAAACAGACAGACAGACAAACAAATAAACTAAACTAATATTCACCTGAAGAGCTAAGCAGCCAGGCTGCGCAAGAGAAAACTATTCTCTTGTGCAGAGACTATTTTAGTGGTGTGTGCGCGCTTGCTGTTGTTTTGGTAGAAAGAAGAGGAAAAAACTGAGCAGCACTTGGTGCTGGTGTGAGAGGAAGCAGAGAGCCAAGAAAATATGTGATGGAAAAGCACAAACACGAGGGCACGCTAAAAACTCAACAGCAATAAATGGCATCCAACTAGAAATGCACATACCAATGCGATCCGCACTACCATTTCAATCGGCCCTCGCCATCACGTCTTCCATCATTGTCGTCTTCGTTGTTTCTCCTCAGTTTTGTCGTCAACATTCGTTTACCATCGATACGCAAACAATGAAAAAAGCACACATACCCGCACACATACCGCACACACACACGCATACAGCCACGGCATTTTTATGCATTTTCTGTTGTTGGCTGTTCGTCCGTCTACCTCTTTAAGCGCATGCGATTGTTGTTATTCTAATGTCGTCATCGCTTTTTGTTTCGTTCGCAATTTCGCTCACATTTAGCGCAATGGGAGAACCAATTCTTCTTTTCATTCTGCTTCTTCGTCTTCGTCTTCGTCATCATCATCATCCGTTTAACTTTTTTTGTTCTGTTTCTCTTCACCGCCGTGCTGTGCTGTTCATTCATTTTTATTTTTGTTCCACAACAGCATTTCTCTCTTATTTACGCTGAATGCAACACGATTCCACTCAGGGATGGGCATAAGCGCAACGTGTGTGCATATCGCTCACTCATTTTTCATTGTGCAAGGTATCATATTCATGTTATCTACCGTGTTATCAAGTTCAAACATTTTGAAATTGGAAATATTTGTGATGACCCGAAATGCTTTTTTTCGTTGTTGTTCAACAGAAGAATAAATGGAATTTAACATTTCCCAATGCTTGGATTGAATGATTTGATGTTTATGATTGGTTTACTCGACTAATACGTGGACTAATCGAGTGGAGATGGAAAATTGACAACTTTCAATTTTTACAGGTGGAAAAACGGTCAAGTTATATCATCGTCAGCTATTGAATTGCCACACTTCTAATTTTTGGGTTCGTTTTTGTCGAATTTGCTCCTTTGTTCCGTTTCGATTTTTCGTATATTCAACATCAATTGCTTTTTATCAATTTCCCAAAATGAATGTTTTTCTTTCTCAATAATTGTGACTTCACTTCAATATGGAAAATTCGCTCTTCAAATCATACAAGGTACATACGATTTTTATTCAATAATAGAATCTGTGATGGCCCAAAGCTTGAATACGAAAGTCTTCGGGCAGAATGAGATAAGACGTCATACAATATTAATTGGTCTTGCATGACTATTGAAAAACTTTTTAATCTAGTTTCTATTTGGATTACGATTTTAATGGGCATCTTCTTTGTTGTTGATCAACATGCATTTTGATACATTGAAGCTGAACATTATAAAGTTCCAGTCACCGAAGAAATATTCATTCCAATTTTCTCTAATGACACAAAAACAGTGCACCGTTTCGCAATCGGATTGGCGAAAACGTATGGATGCATCGAAATTTGTTGTTCGAGGGGATCCAGTGTATAGAAATTTTCCCCTGGGTCCCAACTATTATCTTATTTTCTCATTAAAATGGTATTCACTTAGGCGTAAATAATAACGAATACATGCGTGCATTTCATACAAATCGTGGAACGAATAAACGAAACAGAAAAAAACGTGGCTCTATAGCATATTCGATGCTGTAAAACCAAACCGCAAAAATGTTGCTTCGATTCATTCTCTCGATCTTTTCGATGCGCGTAGTGATGGCTTCGAACGTTCGTTCGACAATTTAAAAAAAATATATTTTGTTCGTTCATTCGTTCGACAATTTAAAAAAAATATTTTTTTGTTCGTTCGTTCGTTCGACATTCATTTTGTTCGCCTCAAGTAAAAATTCACACTAATAAAATCGCTATGCTGTAGTTATGCTCACACTGATTGTCGTTCAGAAATGAGTGTGACCCATACATTTGTGAGCGACAATGAATGTGGCATATATTTAGAGTGTGTAGTGTATGTATGTAACACTCGTTGACGCTCACAAATGTATGGGCCACGCTGAATTTTGGACGACAATCAGTGTGTGCATTGTGTACACACTCCAATTCGATTTCCTGGCACGTCAGAGCAAACGAGTGTACAATATTGTTTAAAAGAGAGTGAGCGATAAACACACAAATTGACACCGAAATTGCTTTGCACTCGACGCCGAGATCTCAGTGTCTAGTGTCCACTCTCTGTATGGTAACCGAGCGAGAATTTTGCTACTGAATTGCCACCAGAAACCATTAATGAATCTGAAAATCTTCTGAATCTGTCGGAGCACTTCTGAATGCTTTTGAATAGCTTCCAAAATGGACGAATCTACTGAAAATGAGTAATCCCAACCAAAAATTCACACTGAATCGACGTTGCGTTTACACATATCTGACACTGTTTTCACACGGTTTTGAACGTCAAACCGTGTGGCTATAGTATAGTAGAGTGTGAAGTCGTTTGACACCATTTTTGATGTCAACTCTTGATACCTGAACAAACTTACACTGCATCCACACGGTTATTCGAAATCAAAAATGATGTCAAACGGCTTCACACTCTACTATACTATAGCCACACGGTTTGACGTTCAAAACCGTGTGGGAACAGTGTCAGATATGCGTTAACGCAACGTCAATTCAGTGTGGATTTTTGCTTGGGAATGGTCCGCGGACAGTCGCGATTTTCGCGAAGCTGATAAAAGATAGAGGTTTGGTGTCTCCGGCAAAGTTTTAGTACTCGTAGTCTTCTATAATTTTGCTCAAGACTGCTATGTCTTATCTCTTATCAGTTAGGCGCAAATCAAAAACTCGCGCATATAGCAGGTTTTTTTTGCTTATCATTTTTCGCATTTTCCACGAAACTGATAAGAGATAACTGATAAGTGTCTAGAGCGAATTTGTAAAGAACCTCATGCACTATACATTTTCTTGAGACGCTTGGTCGTTATCGAAAAACAAGGTAAACCACGACTGTACACCAAATTTCGCGTTTTTTCGCGTTTTTCGCGTTTTTCGCGTTTTTCGCGGAAGTGATAAGAGATAAAGAATTGACGTCTTCACAGTTTTTATAGAGCTTAAAATTTCCAACAACTTTGCTTCAGACAATTCCCAGTTATCTCTTATCAGTTTCGCGAATAACGAGTGCAAAGCAATTTCGGTGTCAATTTGTGTGTTTATCGCTCGCTCTCTTTCAAACAATATTGTACACTCGTTTGCTCTAACGTGCCAGGAAATCCAATTGGAGTGTGTAAACAATGCACATAATGATTATCGTCCAAAACTCAGCGTGGCCCATACATTTGTGGGCGTCAACGAGTGTTACATACATACACTACACACTCTAAATATATGCCACATTCATTGTCGCTCACAAATGTATGGGTCACACTCATTTCTGAACGACAATCAGTGTGAGCATAACTACAGCATAGCGATTTTATTAGTGTGAATTTTTACTCGAGTGGCTCATGGAAATAAGATGAAATAGGTTGATTCTGACAAGAAATAAGCCCCTTCAATTGCTCGAATCGAGAAATCCGTTTGGCCATATATTTGAATGTCGTTGGTGAGTATGGAACGT